TTTTGAATATTTATTTAATTTTTCAAATTAAAACTGAACTTTTAATTGACTGTGTTAACTATCCTTTTCCAGTCCTTTTATTATTTTATTGTAATTATTAATTATTTGCATGCAATTAAAAAATATTTTTCATGATGCTATAGAAGTATAACTTCTCACGCGCGTACATAAGTTACACGCACCCATTTTTTTTTTCAAATAACAATCTCAATCAGTGTAGACTGACGAGACAAGAGAGGATTGAATCACAAATAAACTACATCAAAACAGTTGAGTGACTACATCAAAAAAACAGACGTCACCATGAATGGGAATACGCCGTTATTCTGGTTTCGTGCGATCTAATCTTAAGACACACGCGCCATCACCTCGCAACCCACACTCACACCGATGAAAGGAGCAGGCAATCTCACACCTCCATAAATGCTCCTTTGTACTCCACAATGAAATCAGATAAAGACTGATTCACCTGAATGAGGAGCGAACAAAACCAGTGGTCAGCGACGTACCAGAAAGAGAACTTGCGTACCTTTTTTTTTCGTTTTTCTGTCATTGTTGGTACAAGACAAGACCCTGTAGATATTTAGGAATCGCAACCCGATATGGAATCGTTTTGTTTTCGAATCTTTATTGTCTTTATAAGTGATTTATGAAGTTGTTGTGGTGGAGAGATAATAATAATAATAAACGTTTATTGACTTAAAGCAAGTTATAATATTTTAAATTAATAATACAAAACTTGGTGACAAGAGACACATTGGAGCTTAAATATTGTTAAAGGTGACTTCTGTTGCCAGTGGTAGGATAACTTGTATTACAGGCAACAGGGTCCCCTCTATGTACGTAAATACTGTAGCCGATTTAGGTGTGCGCACATTGGTTGTATGATTTCTTATATAGATATATAAACTAGTTATAAAAACTACAGAAACCGACAATAACTAAATGCTGCCGTATTTGATTACACAATAAAGTGTTCTAATTATGTTTATATTACGCGCGTTTAAAAAATACTGATCTAGATTTAACAATTGCATTTATGGTACTTATACGTTGTCAAATTGTTAGGTGATTAATAAAGAGTTTTTATACAAATTTGATTTAAACATGTTGAGATTTTAACAAATATATGGATGATAAAATTGATCATTATATTTGTTTATCATTACATGAAATGAAAAGTAAACCGAATTGCAATTATTGCATATCATAGCAAGCAACTAACTAGGTACCTTTTTTTTAATACAATACATGATGTAAGTATTTCGAAACTATCTACTATGTAGAGTTATCAGAATTCGCCTCACATTTGATTTCGAATGAATAGAAAATTGTATGTACTATATTTATTTTGAATTTAATAAAGGAGAGAAGACGTAACCACTAATGAAAAAAAACGTAAACAGTTTTATTTAAGATTTTTTTTTTCTAGAAAAATTCGAATTGATCCACGCATCAGACGGGATTTATAAATCTAGCAGCTGAATGCTTAAAAACTAAAAATATTTCCTTGTCACTAAGCAGGTATATAAAACAGCGTGAATTTTTTTTTTACCTTTCAGGTCCTCTACAGGTCCCATTTTTATAATTATTGTATTTTTTAACGTCCATAACTGAGGAGCTCGATGGCGCAGGTGGTTAGCGCGTTCGACTGCGATCGTTGTAGTTAAGCAACTTTCGAAGTTGCCGGTCATTAGATGGGTGACCAAAAAATTCTATCTCGAGTTCCTCCGTGCTTCGGAAGGCACGTTAAGCCGTTGGTCCCGGTTGCACTTGCAGTCGTTAGCACCCGACAATCCGCACTGGGCCCGCGTGGTGGGCCATGGCCCAATCTCCCTATTCCACCCATAGGGAAGGCCTGTGCCACAGCAGTGGGGACATTAAGAGGCTGATGATGATGATGATGAACGTCCATAAAAAAGAAATAAAAATATAGGTAGGAGTGTTCTGAGGAGTTATTCTCTCTTATCCCACCTTCCCCTTTCCTTCAGAGGATCACGCGCGCGGGCCTACGTTGTCACCGTCTTACTGTGGCCACAATTCCAACGCGTACAAAGAAATTTGTTGACTCATTTCTTTGTCGCACTATCCGTAAATGGAATGCTCTGCCCGCTCACGTGTTCCCTCCCTCTTACAACCTGGGATCCTTTAAAAGAGGCGTGAAGAAGCAACATGCAGGCCGGCAGGGTGAGGATGGCTGCTGTGGCAGGTAGAACTGCTGTATCAGCTATCTACACGTCTGGACTTCACCTTCACTTAAAATTAGGTGGGGTGGAGTCATTTGTCGGACCTATCTATAAAAAAAGAAGATATTTTTTTTACCTGTTAAAAAGTATTTTATTTAATGATTTAGTGCGTGAGAGTAAGAAATAAATTGGTGTAGAAATGTTTACAGGTTGGTACAACAGTATAGAACAGTAACATTTAATTTTGTAGTTCCGGCAAGTTAATGTGGGTCACGGGAGGTTCCGTATCGACCGCTTTCTGAGTGGCGCGGCGAATTAGACAGCACAGTAACACTCTGTTATTAGCAACGGATCCCTGATTAGGGACGTAGCATACGCGTAGCTTTAATATGGCTTACAAAATTATCTGGGAGTTCCTGAGCATGTAACTGCTTGGCAGCAGACGGGACTCGAACCCGCACCCTTCGCTAACCGGACGAATGCACTGTTTTATCCTATTATTTTTATCGTATTACATATTATCAGAAACAATAAATCTCTTAGGGTGTTTTATAAAATAGAATTTAATGTATTTGGTACAAAATCTGTTTGATTTGTAAGGAACTGTTATTATTTTTTGTACTTTGTACCAAACAAGCATTTTTTCTTTCTTTCTTAAAATCAATTTGAAGAGCATTTTATAATACTTTATAGATCTTAAATAATTTAATGCAACAAAATAGAATTTCATTAATCACACTAATATTATAAAGGCGAAAGTTTGTGAGTGTGTGAGTATGTGAGTGTGTGTATGTTTGTTACTTCTTCACGTCTAAACGGCTGGAGCGATTTTAATAAAATTTAGTAATTTAGTTAGCTGACACCCTAGATTAACACAAGGGCTACTTTTATCCCGAAAAAATGTTAGGTTCCAGAGGGATTTTCAAGAAACTAAGTTAACGCAGAAAAATCGCGGGCGACCTCTAGTATAAAATAAGTGAGAATATATAAAACCTAAATTAGAAAGAGGTTTTGATAACTTAGTAAATTAAAATAGTTAAACTATTTCTGAGCGAATCACCTGATCTTCTGACTAAAATGCACATACTAAAAAATATCGCAGTTATAGAGATAAAATCTGTAGTCAGTCAGTGGACTTGAGCCCTTATCCAAAAGGGTTGTGTTTCTCGCGCACAATACCTACATATGTGCGTGTATGTGTGCGAGCGAGAGCGCGTATACGACACACGTGCGTTTGTCTCTCTTCCTCTCTGCTAGCCCTTCGCTTGCCAAGCTGTAGCGGTTGGGGCAAACTATAGGAGGTGGCGTTAAGTTACGTTACGCAATTAAACGGCATGGTAAAATTTAGTATGAGCGACTGGCCTAGCAATTTATGAATATTGTGCTTACTAATATATCATACTGAATGACTGAATAATTTCTATGAAACAAGGCTTAGGAACTTTTGATAAAATTACAATCCTGAAAATTATGAAAACTTACTACTATGTAATTCGTTATCTTGTTACATATGATAAAAGATATTGCCAATTATTTACAGTGTCGTCGACCTGACAGGAACTCTGACAAGTTTTATTTTGTTCATTTGCAAAAACCAAAGTACTCTTATACAGCCTTGTCTCAAGGCTGATCAGAAAAATAAAATCTATATAATCAAGCTTTCAGTGATTTGTTATAAAAAAATAGGGCTAAGTATTTCATAGTTTTTAGAAGTTTGGAATTAATGTTGTTTATTTCGATATACTTGCACAAATTATATTTGTGTAGATTAATTGTTCATTTATTTTTGGAATAGTCATGAAGTCAATTTTTATACCTTGAATTATTTGATTGTTTCACAGGAGTTCTATGAGAATAATAACAACGTAATAATTAATTTAAAAAAAATGCAAGGATTGGTCGCGTTGTTGATACATAGTTAAATGTGACTATATTTAAAATACTTTATAAAAAATAACTATTTTTCAAAAATTTTACACATTATCCTTTAAGTAAATACATAATTCAACTTTATACCTAGCAACGGGGCCTTAGACCAGCAAAGTGAGGATAGTTAGTGCAGTACATTTTTTTGCTGACTCTTCTAACTACAGACATTTAAAAAAAATTTAACAGCGCATTATAATTTTACATCATGGTCAGTCGAGAGGCGAAAGAAGAAATATTAAGAAGCAGAGCCCAGTGGACGGAGGGATAACTTATAGTTCAGTTTTAGAAAATATTATATTTGTTGAACCAATAGATTCGCCAGTTTCATTTTCAGGTAACCACTCTTTTTTTTATATATTTGATTAAATTTATTTAAGTGCATAAACTGAAATAAGAAATGAATATATTTTTTCATAGAAAAATCATGTCATCAGCTTAGGTACGATGTATAGAGCCACTACAAACAAACAGTTATAACGCGTTCCCCGAGCACAGACACTTAACTCGAAACACTACTTCCCTTTTAGCGTTACATGCTTATTTTACTTAATTAAAACGCACCTAAATGGATTCAAAATGCGTCTTTATTACTTATTTAATTTTTCCCTTTAACATTCATTTCCTTAAATTCTTTTTCCCTACGAATATTTTAAATGTGAAACTTTGTATTTCTGCATGTTTATTGCTCAACCACGCAAAAAATCTGTAGGCATTCACCAAGATTGAGACAGAATAGAATAAATACTTTGTAACCCGGGATTTTTTTAAAGTTCCTGCGGGTATCTCTAAAATCTAAGCGCGGACGGATTTACAGACGGAAGCTAGTACATACCTGTTATTATAATCGCTATCGCGTCAGCTTGTGACTTGCATCGCTGTCATCAGGCATGGACTTGGTGGGGCGAGGTGTGAGCGAGTTGGCCGGTCCGCGAACATGTTCCACCATGTCAGCACATGGTATGGATTTAAACATTATGGCAGTTGTGAAATTGCCAGAAAGCGCGTTTAGCGCAATCAAATAACACTATCTTTTGGAGGATTTAATGTTTCTGCTGGACAGTATGGGTGCGGCCAGAGTGCACTCAGATTCAGATTCAGATTCAGATTCCGAAAACAAGCGCGAGAAATAAACAGTGTAGTCGAAGGGTACGGCCAGAGTGTACTCCTGATTCAGATTCAGACTCAGAAAACAAAGCGCGAGAAAAAGCAGGCAACCTGCTTAGACTACACTGTCTATTTCTCGCGCTTGTTTTCGGAATCTGAATCTGAATCTGAGTGCACTCTGGCCGCACCCTATGGTTCCGGGGCTCCGCGGGGTATAGGATTGGGTTCAGGAAGGCAAGGTGTGTATGGCTGGAGCTGCACAGCTTCCGCCGCATCATCTATCTTCGCAAGTGGACTCCACTTACACTTAACATAAGGTGGCATGGGGTAATTTGTTGAGCCTTGTATAAAAAAAACGTTTGAATCCTTACCACGATTCTTTATGCTTCCATTATTGACGCTATAACTGTGCCGCTTCGTAGGGACTAGGTGGCATCTTGGTATAAGTTTTCCAGCACCTTAACTAGATTTTAATAATAAAAGTTATTTAAGCATTATAATACCTACTTTTATTAAGCTACCATGATAGCTAAGAATAAAAAAAAACCGGCCAAGTGCGAGTCGGACTCGCGCACCGAGGGTTCCGTACAAACCTCTAGGTATATTTTAATAATTATTAAAAAAAAATATTATAGGATGTAACTAAGAATTTACGGTTTTCGCAATTTTTCCTTTATCTGTACTATAAGACGTTACTTCGTACCAAATTTCAAGATTCTAAGTTCACGGAAAGTACCCAGTAGGTTTTGATTCCCGTGCGAGTTTCGAAAATTTGCGACATAAACGGCTGTATCTTTTGATTGCTTTGGCTTAGAAGTTTGATTTTTTCGCAGCTCCAAGGGACAGTACTCCTGAGTATTATATATGAATTTCAGTTTGATATCTCTACGTGTTCCTGAGAAAAACGGTCTTGACAGACGGACGGACGGACAGACGGACAACAAAGTGATCCTATAAGGGTTCCGTTTTTTCCTTTTTAGGTACGGAACCCTAAAAATGAGTTGGACCGTGTTGTTTTTTTAGAAAATTTTCTAGACATGATTTGAAAACTAAATAACTGGTACTTCGTCAAATCAATGATAAATTATGATGAAAATAATGAGACTGGCTATTAAGCTTGAAGATTGATATCTATTATAATTATTTGTTTTTTATGCTGTCTCATTTTAGTTTGATTTTGGGCCACTTTCAAAGCTGTAGGCCATTTATTATTATAGTTTTCTTTTCATTCATCATTCATCATCAGCCTATTAATGTCCCCATTGCTGGGGCACAGGCCGTCCCTATGGATGGAATAGGGAGATTGGGCCATGACCCACCACGCCGGCCCAGTGCGGATTGGTGGGTGCTAACGACTGCAGATGCAGCCGGGACCAACGGCTTAACGTGCCTTCCGAAGCACGGAGGAGCTCGAGATAGTAATTTTTGGTCACCCATCCAATGACCGACCACTGTGAAAGTTGCATTAGTTCAACGATCGCAGCCGAACGCGCTAACCACTTGCGCCATCGAGCTCCCCAGTTTTCTTTTACTTTTATAAGAATATACCTAATAGGTATTCCAGAACTTCGAGTGCCATAGCTCTGCAACGTTTGCTCGACGTTTGCTCGGGGTTTGTTTTCGCATTTGATAAGAAAACAGGAGGGTGAGTGTTGATGTGTGCCGGTTGTGCATATGAACAATGAGTAAAGAAGCTACAGAGGCATATCAAAAAACATACGTACAATGGGGATGATGGCTAACTTTCTTTCTTCGTCTATCAGGGAGATTATCCAAAGTAAAGGACACGTATTTTTTTATTTTTCAAATAGTCAAAATATCACAGAGATATATTTTTTGACGACCTCTGTGAACGAAAGGTTTGTACGCCGGGTTTCATGGTGTCGCCGACTCGGGAGGTCCCGTATTCGAATCCCGGTCGGGGCCGATGTTTGTGTGATGAATACGTGCATTTGTACTCCAGTCATGGATGTTTAATATGTATTTCTCTATAAATATACTTATTTATGTAGAGTATATGTATTCTTTCCGTTACCCTAGTATCCCATAACACAAGTCTTATGGTGCTCACTTTGAGGCTAGGCTAATTGGTGTGTGTGTTGGAAATATTTATTTATTTATATTGATTTAAAATGTCGTATAAAAAGTAACGTATGGGTACAAACTTTATTTAAAAATGACACCACGAGCCCATACTTCCAAACTTTGACACGCTTTAACTTTGTATTTTTTTGGTTAATTGACATAAGAATAATAATATAATAGGAAGCGGCATTAGATAGATGGGATTAAAGATAGGAAGATGGCATAAGCGGCATAAAAAACAAACTCCTCCGGTTGCAAAATGTTTTTAAACAGGGTACTTAGTGTCCATTATTTTTTTGATAATGTAACTGAAGAACTTAACTGAATTTCGTATTAAATTTATAGATGCAAAACTTCATCCAATGCGCGTGAGTGAGCACTGGCGGCCTCCCGCGTACGCAGAGAAACATAATGCGATTCAACTAAGAATAGGACCGACTGGGCGCCATATTGTGATGTCATAGCTGTCAATTCAAACTAAATAGGTAGAGTGAGAAAAAAAAGTTTTTATTTAATAAAACTTATTTACTCAGATTAAGTGAGAAAAAGCATCAGATTTTTTTAATAACATTTATTTACTAAGATTGAGAAAAAACCACCGATTTTTATTAATATTTATTTATATGAGAAACGGTGAGACTGTGAGAAAAAACATTAATAAATCTAGCTCTTCTATTTCGCTCATCTATGCATTACCGCCGGAGTAGTTATGAATAATCATGCACTATTACTAGGTCACCTAAGAACATGCATCCTTTATGTAAACGAAAGTTTGAATTCGAGTTACCGAACGCAACTTAAAGTGAATTTGGTTGACGATTTCGGTTATCAACAATTCATGGCCAAAGCTCAATAAGTGAAAAAAAAAAAATATACATCAACCGATTTTAATTATCAATATTTGTTATTGTTTGTTTACAAATGTTTGGTTTTTATTCTTGAATTAGCGGAGTGCTAAAAAACGGTTCCAAGATTTTTTTTTGCAAACCGTACTTTTCAAGCGACATTTGACAGATAGAGGTCATTGGCTTTCCTATTCTTGTTTGAATCGCATTATATCTATTGGCGGCGGTGACAGGCCACCAGTGCTCACACATGCGCATTGGGTGAAGTTTTGCCTCTGCGCCTTCTTTACTCATGTGATGCGGGAGTGGTTCGGAAGCGGTGCGGGAGCGGGGGCGGGGGCGGGGGCGGCGTGAGAGGCCGCGGCTCGACACCTCCGCACAAAGACCCGCTAATAGCTAGTTTCACACCACTAGCTTTTACGCGCGACGTTGCTTGCACTATGCGAGGATTTATTAATCAAAGTTTCCAACAAACCTAAACTGTTTCTGGAACGAGATTTTTTTACTGTCATAACGTTTCTTACCATCGTCATCAGTCTAATAATGTCCTCAATGCTGGGGTACAGGTCTTCCGTATGTATGAAAAATAAAATCAGGGCTATGACCCACCACGCAGGCCCAGTGCGTGGGTTGGTGAGGGTGGTTGATGGGTGTTAACGACCGCATACATTGGCGCGTGCGGATTGTTGAGTGCAGCTGCAGCCTTAACCAACGGCTTAAGTTGCCTTCTGAAACACGTAGGAGCTTGAGATAATAAATTTATGGTCACCCATCTGATGCTCGGCCATTGCGAAAGTTACATTTAATTAAAAAAATTATAAGCATTAACACTCGTACCTGAGCGGAGAAAAATTTACCTTATCATTTTTGTATCACAGCTTAAAGCTGATGTAACCATTAATCAAAGTAATATTTAAGTAGAGGTCATAATGACTAGTTATTTAAGCGTTCTCTTAACTAAAGTCCCATTTCGTTCGCTCCATACACTTTTCGTTGGCAGCGAATTATTTGCATTCCATAACCGACAGACAGAATAATTAAAGTTGTAGTAAAGCTGCGCGAGCCGGTTCACTCTTCCAGCTATCCGCAAACAAACACATTCTCGCGCGTCACATTGGAATTACAATCTCAAACTGATGAAATAAGGTTTAGATTCTCCTGGCACGACTAGTGCCTCCCTAGGGTCTGATTAGCCTGAAACGAAACTAAGTATGGACAATTAGTTTTAGACCCTAGCTGTTTGGTCTAGAGTCGGTTTTGCGTTGTAATACGCTAACAATAATAGAGGACACTCGACCTCGGAGCGCGATTTTTCCCGCGGGTTTCACTTTCGCGCTAAGTGCTGCTGTTCAACACTTTTGTATGAAAATATTAAAGAATTTCTCCTACGGCGCCATCTTACCTAAGCTTGGTGACGACTTCCTTCGTGATGCCATGATGCTGTCTAGGATTAACACTTACGAATATTAAATCTACAAAGTACAACAATATTTATGATACCAGAGCTTGTAAGTATTCATTACCCTTATTCACCAATGAACTACCAGAGGTTCATCATCAGCCTATTAATGTCCCCACTGCTGGAGCACAGGCCTTCCCAATGGATGGAATAGGGAGATTGGGCCATGACCCACCACGCGGGCCCAGTGCGGATTGGTGGGTGCTAACGACTGCAGATGCAGCCGGGACCAACGGCTTAACGTGCCTTCCGAAACACGGAGGAGCTCGAGATAGTAATTTTTGGTCACCCATCCAATGACCGACCACTGCGAAAGTTGCTTAAGTTCAACGATCGCAGCCGAACGCGCTAACCACTTGCGCCATCGAGCTCCTCACCAGAGGTTATTCAAAATGAAATAAAATATTCTAGACCCTTTGTTTAAGGGTCAATTCACACGTACCACAACCACACCACGTCGCAGC